ATCAAGGAAAGCTTTTGGTGACGTCACACTTTACAGGTGCTCAAGGAGTGATATGGAATCGCCTTTTACTGCTCACAGCCTCACTAAATATACGTGGTGCACCAACATCCTTGCACGGGGACCAATCATGTCTGCTGCAGTGAGCAAACAGTGCAGGCAGAGGGGGGAATGGGGGTTGGGGGTGTGGTAAACAAGTAAGAGGTTATTTTTTTCCTCATGCATGTTTTAGATTTTTTGTATTTTCACTGTTGTCCGTGTGTGTGTGTGTGTGTGTGTGTGTGATAGAAATAGCTTGGTTGGCTGTGGTGATGATGAGATACCGTTGCAGTCTAGCAATCCTCCACGGATGGACACACAGCAGGACGGTGGCATACTGAGAAATTAAATACAGGAGAAGGCAACAAATCAATGTGATGTGAGGAGGGAGAGCTTACTTTTACTTAAAGCTGCTCAGGCTATTCCTCAGCTGATTGTCAGTTCATTCCTTTTTAATCTTGTTGATCGGGAGGCTGGGGGAAGGAGGTTGGCTAAGCAGTTTTACAGCATATTAAAGCACTGAAGGGAAGAGTGAAAGAGCTAATGAAAAACAACTAAAAACGAAAGCAAACCTGCTTGGTCACTGTTTATCCCTTCTACACAGAGAAAGGAGGGAGACCAGAGAGGAAAGAAGCAGAAAAAATTTGAACAAGGGAAGTGTACGTGAACGACAGAGAGAGAGAGTGTGCTACCATTGGAGAGAGAGAGGGAGAGCGAGCTGCGCTGCAGTAACATCCCACAGCAGACAGCGGAGAACTGCCGGTGTGTATGTGTGTGTGACTGCACTGCTGAAGAGGAGAAGGAGGGAGAAGGTGGGCACACTTGCAGACTCTGCAGCGGCAGCGCTAGTGTTGGCCCGCACCGGGTAGAAGTCCCACAGACCACCGCTGTAGGATCTGGACACGTCAACACCGCCCAGGCCCCTGTTCCCAAAATCATGGCACAAGCGGCCAAACATCTTCGTAAGAACAAGGATTTAGAAGCCCAGGCAGAGCAGGAGCGCAAAGAGGAGGAGGAGCAGAAGGTCAAAAAGAGGAGTCGCTCACGGGATAAAAAGCGAAAGGTACTGGGACTATTCAGAGGTGGGGTGATGGGTCTAAGTTGGGGAGGGAGCGATGGCTGGAGAGGGGTTCGGAAAGATTGAGACGCTCCCCCCTTCTTTCTCTGTCATGCTAAGCTGTTGTCAGAGGTGCCGGGACACACATGGAAACCCAGTCATGACCGTGTTTCTACTGTGTGTGCACAGACCCTGGCACACATGTATGTCCTGGGCATACAGACACGGGGAAACGGTACAACACACTGCATGCTTTCCTACTCCTCTCGACTGCTTTATATTTGCTTTACTGACTGTCCTGTCTAAGCTGCTTGATAAGGCAGCGTAATACTCTATCTCTCACTGTCTCTCTGTCCCTCCTCACATCTCAAGTCTTGCCTGTACCTTTTCTCTCTATCTCCCCTCTTTCTTTGTTTTCACACTGCAGTACGGTGTGTGAGCAAAATCTCACTACAGCAATAATCTTCCACAAGGACAGTGAGCCTGCCAGTTTCCACCACAGTCCATTCTCCTCTCAGCTTTTCTTCTTTCTGGTATTTGTGGCATAATGACAACAGAGCAATACCTGCAGGCTTCTTTATGTCGGAGAAGTCCCAGGCAGAGCTGGAGCGACTAGCAGGGCTTGTTGTAAACAAATCCCTACTCCACCAGTCACCGACTGCAGGGACATATCATCAAGCTGCAGTTTATTCCTCTGGCTGCTCGTTGCATTTCACTAAAACTCATTAATGGAAATGAGTCATCCGCAGATTGTGCTGTTGGTGGCAAATTTGTCCTCAGCAACTGAGTACGAGTCCAGCCACCCTGTGAGCCTGCACTGTGCCAGGCTGGCTGTAAACCAATTTGATGCTGATGCAGTAGAGACAGTGTTATGAACAGAAACACAGTATAGGCTTCAGGGGTACAGAGTAGGGTGATGAGACAAAAAGAAGAGAGGAAGAAGGGTTATGACTCAGATACAACTGGTTTGGATGTCTCTCTATTGGGGTTTGCTCCTCAACATTTTTATTTTTGTTTTGTTTTGTGTTGTTCGAGAGTCAGATCCAATCACAGACCATGCGACACCACTCTGTGATTTCTGACATGAGCCAATGACTTCCCATCGTTTTTCCATATCTTCACTTGTGCCTTGTCTAAGAGATGGTTCCTGTCAACCTTGAGCTTAGGAAAACGGGTACACAGATGTGTGTGTGTGTGTGTGTGTGTGTGTGTGTGTGTGTGTGTGATTTGTGCAAGTCTGGCAAGGCGACATTCAAGAAGGGAAGGCTTGCAGCTTTACTGGCATGGATGAGGGTAGGGATTTCTGGTGAGGGTAGTAATGCAGCTCAACTTTGACTGAAAGCGTATGGTTTCAGTGACTCTCATATCTCTTACATAACCATGCAGTTGAAGTCTTTCAAATAAGCCTCCTGACTACCCTCCAGCTCCCCCTCCTGACCTCTCTTCCTTTTTTTTAACACCAGCTTACAGCCATTCCTGGTTTCTGGAGCAGATCTTAATACCGGGGGAGTTCTCTCTTTATCACTCTCTCTCTCTCTTTGGTGCCTGTGGCTACGTAGTCAAATTCTAGACTCTGTATTTTGTAGATTGACTGATTGTTGCCGTATAATGCATGGTGCTTGACTAAGCCACCACTGAACTTGGTTGTTTGATTTGTTTGCCAGTGAACACCTGTTTTTCTCTAGTTGTTCCTTTAGCTGCCTTGTGCAGCGACTTGTTCCTCTGGAGTGTCTCTGTACTTGCGGTACAGGCAAGCAGGGGCAGATCTAGAAAATTTTGGATGGAGTGGCCAGGCCATATGCAAAAAGTAAATTAAACCCCTAGTTCTATAAAATATTAAACCACACATTATTAAGAGTGATTTTTTTTTTCTTTCTTCACTAATACATTGTAATTTATGATCTGCTGATGCCATTACTTGATTTGCTCATTCCAGTACTTTGTGACTTGTGTGTGTGTGTGTGTGTGTGTGTGTATGTGGTGACAGAAATCAGTGTCTGCTGGTGGAAACCTAGAGTTATAAAGAAAATAACTATTTATCATCAAAGGGTGATAGTGTCATTTTAATTGGCTTCATGGTGTAGTGGTATTATACAGCATGGGTCAGTTGCTGAGCAGTGGATAATGTTATCCTCAAATTACTTTTATTGATGTGTGTGCTCCTCTTGAAAAATGAGCATTGTCAGGATGTGGACAAAGCCCTATTGTCCTCGTCAGCACTTGTTTTCACGTTGGTGTCTGTGTCTGTGTCTGTGTCTAGAGCTGCTTCGCTGTGAGTTGGTTTACCTGGCGACAGTGGCCCTGGAGTATGAAGCAGTGCTTTGCTGTGTGTATCATTTATCTCATATTAGCATCACTTGTAAAAATGGTGGGAAATGTTTCAAATGCTGTTTTTATTTTAGGCTGTTTACTTTATTACAGATTCAGGACTCTTCCAAGGTCATGGGAAATTACTGACTGAATTGTTTGAGGACTGGAGTTGTATTGACAACAAACTTTTGTTGCACTGGCCCTTGAATTCTTAACATATTGGCTGCTTAATTTTGGTAGGTGGTGAATCAAAGCTTTTTCTGTAATCTGAGTTATTTTTATCACCTTGTATGTGATGATCTCCTTTAAATCAAATCTAGGTAGACTAGTGATGAGACAAAAGTGTTCAGCTATAATCAAACCCTTTCACTCTTATGATGATAAAACTTTGATGTTTTTCTTCTTATTTATTATGTTTAAAAAGTCATGACATTTATGTAAGGATTCACCAGTGCTTTTTTTTTTTTTTTTTTTTTAAAGAAAATTAACTTCTAATTGCAAGTTATTAACAAAACAATAAACAAAGTTTATCTTGTATGCTGGTATTAAAAGCCATAAAATTCTGTCAGCTGGAGTCTTTATAGCCATTTAGAGATCTGCTTCCTCCTGTTAACAATCATTTTAGTGCTACAGTACAGTATGGGATCACTGTTTGGGGAGCCACCAGACTGTTTAACAAATCCACTAGTCCCATTCAGGAGTGTGCAGTAATATGGTTTCATTTGCCTTTTGTTCATTTG